AATCCAGACCAGTAATCTGTACAAGTCACCACAGTGTTCTCTTGATAATCCGTACCAGACTAGTAATCTGTAGTTACCACATTGTTCTCTTGATAATCCTACGCTATCTCACGACCAATTCGTATGAATTCGACGAATGATTAAAAAGTGTCTAATTCGTACTAATTCGTACGACCTCATTCGTTCGAATTCGTACGATTTGTCTGAACCCACATGATGGGTAGGTTTAGGGGCGGGGTAAGGGGTAGGTCATTCATACTAATTCATACGAATTGGCCAAATTCGTTCCTAATTCGTACGAGTGAGGTTGTATGAATTGTTACGAATTAGCCACATTTTAATCATTTGTCGAATTTGTATGATTTGGACGTGAGATCGGGTTGGATAATCTGTACCAGACTAGTAATCTGTACTAGTTACCACAGTGTTCTTTTGATAATCCGTACCAGACTAGTAATATTCTGTAGTCACCACAGTGTTCCCTTTATAATCTGTACCAGACTAGTAATCTGTACTAGTCACCACAGTGTTCTCTTGAGGATCTGTACCAGACTAGTAATATTCTGTAGTCACCACAGTGTTCTCTTTATAATCTGTACCAGACTAGTAATCTGTACTAGTCGCCACAGTGTTCTCTTGAGGATCTGTACCAGACTAGTAATCTGTACTAGTCACCACAGTGTTCTCTTGAGGATCTGTACCAGACTAGTAATCTGTACTAGTCACCACAGTGTTCTCTTGATAATCCGTACCAGACTAGTAATCTGTACTAGTCGCCACAGTGTTCTCTTGATAATCCGTACCAGACTAGTAATCTGTACTAGTCACCACAGTGTTCTCTTGATAATCCGTACCAGACTAGTAATCTGTACTAGTCACCACAGTGTTCTCTTGATAATCCGTACCAGACTAGTAATCTGTACTAGTCGCCACAGTGTTCTCTTGAGGATCTGTACCAGACTAGTAATCTGTACTAGTCACCACAGTGTTCTCTTGAGGATCTGTACCAGACTAGTAATCTGTACTAGTCACCACAGTGTTCTCTTGATAATCCGTACCAGACTAGTAATCTGTACTAGTCGCCACAGTGTTCTCTTGAGGATCTGTACCAGACTAGTAATCTGTACTAGTCGCCACAGTGTTCTCTTGAGGATCTGTACCAGACTAGTAATCTGTACTAGTCACCACAGTGTTCTCTTGAGGATCTGTACCAGACTAGTAATCTGTACTAGTCGCCACAGTGTTCTCTTGAGGATCTGTACCAGACTAGTAATCTGTACTAGTCGCCACAGTGTTCTCTTGAGGATCTGTACCAGACTAGTAATCTGTACTAGTCACCACAGTGTTCTCTTGAGGATCTGTACCAGACTAGTAATCTGTACTAGTCACCACAGAGTTCTCTTGAGGATCTGTACCAGACTAGTAATCTGTACTAGTCGCCACAGTGTTCTCTTGAGGATCTGTACCAGACTAGTAATCTGTACTAGTCACCACAGTGTTCTCTTGAGGATCTGTACCAGACTAGTAATCTGTACTAGTCACCACAGTGTTCTCTTGAGGATCTGTACCAGACTAGTAATCTGTACTAGTCACCACAGTGTTCTCTTGAGGATCTGTACCAGACTAGTAATCTGTACTAGTCGCCACAGTGTTCTCTTGAGGATCTGTACCAGACTAGTAATCTGTACTAGTCACCACAGTGTTCTCTTGAGGACCAGACTAGTAATCTGTACTAGTCACCACAGTCTTCTCTTGATAATCCGTACCAGACTAGTAATATTCTGTAGTCACCACAGTGTTCTCTTGATAATCTGTACCAGACTAGTAATCTGAACTAGTCACCCCAGTGTTCTCTTGAGGATCCGTACCAGACTAGTAATCTGTACTAGTCACCACAGTGTTCTCTTGAGGATCCGTACCAGACTAGTAATCTGTACTAGTCACCAAAGTGTTCCCTTGACCGTCATGAGTCAATCCCTCCACAGGATTTAGTGCAAAACACCGGTTCATCGTATCAATCAGTTCCATTTGAGTTCAGTTTAGAATCAAAAGGAAGAATACAGTAGTTTCGAATCAGAGAATGCAGAAATAAAATATACAGTAGTGTAATCAGTCGGACGCACAGTGTACTCTTTCAGTAAATGCACAGCTAAACAGATGTGTTTTGAGATTGATTTTAATGTGACTACTGTATACATCTGATCTCTTCAGCTGCGGCTGGCAGAGCTCCGAAAGTCATCATGATATTGTGGATATAGTATATTGTTAAGCCAATGCCAAAGCTTTATCCTGTTTGGATAAATACTTTAGCTGTGATTGCAGGCCTGTTTTGTTGATGATAATGGCATATAAATTGATTTATTGATAAAGTGATATTAGAGTATCTATCTGTCGAAAACAAAATATTTTTTGGGTTTGCTGATCAAACAGTTTTGTTGTCCATTTTACCTGTCTGAGATTATGTATTGATATAGCAAAACAATGAAACCAAACAAGTTCAATGCAGATGAGTACCAATATTTTTTTTTCCAAGCATGCAATTATGCCATGCAATATTGAGTTTATTGTTATGCAAGTCTGCAAAGTGCATCCAGCGCTGCTTGTTCGACACATTAGTACAACCACAAATTTTATTGAAATTGTTGCTCTTAGGGAGATGTCAAGAGGCCCGGAAAGGATGAAAATGTTTGGGAGGGGTGGTGATGACAGCTGTTTGGAGTGGAGTCCATGGCTTCCTGATTTCTTACAGCATAAATGCTCCTTCATTTTCCATTGGCTTAATCCCAGATGGATTGGTCTGGACTGAAACTTCACTGCTTTTCCTCACCCTTCTTTCAAATAATGTGAGCGAGCGCTGTGTTGGAGAATGGAGAGCCAGTGATTTGTTGCAGCAAAAGTTGTGCTCTGCAGTACACCAATCACACGCATTTCAGACAGCTGCGTTTGTTAGTGCCTCGGCGGAGAGGAATCGGATGATATACTATGTTCAGTGGTCAAGCATGAATTCAGTTTATGGTTGTGACGTTCCCAGCTGGGGCTGTTCAATTTCATGCGGTCTTTAAGTTGTGTGAGACCACATTTAAAATCTAAGATTCAGAATCAAATAGAAATTACCCTAGAAATAATGTTTTATGATATGAAGCAAAAAGAGCCATTCTAAACAAATTCATGGTTATTCAAATTTTCACTTAAATATACCCATATATTCTTTGAAGTAAAAGTTGTCGTAGTAGGGTAAACTTCTTTAGTGGTGAGCAGGACAATAGGGGAAATATGACATTTGTGTTCTCATTTTCTCCAGTAACAAACATAAAACAAAAAATTAAATAAATGAAAAAAAAAAATCTATAATAGGCTTTTCCATTATATTTCCAAAACTGGAAAGAAATACAACGGTCAAAGAGAAAAATAAGACAGATTCACTGTACTGTCACTTCAGCCAACGTATAAAAACACCTTGCAACTATTTTTCTTTTGTAATTGAATGAGATCCCTTGGACATGGCTGTGGTTACACAAGGTAAAAACTATATAAATACTGTTCGTTTTCTCACACAAACCGATGTCTTAGGCCATCAATGTGTACTTACATTTACGAGTCATAAAATCATGTTTAATTTGGACTTCTCTGTGCATGCTCTTTGAGGTGGACCCCCTATACGTGCATTATATGCCTGATAGACAACAACGGTTTGACCGAAAAATATCAAAATGGAAAAACTGTGGAAACAAAGACACCTAGATCTTGGATGCCCTTGAAGTAAGCTAAAACATATCAAAAATTAATTTCAAAGTGAACTAGCCATTTAAATGTATTAATAGGGCTTCTATTACTCCTAATGTATTGTATTAGATCTGATACTGTCATCTATGCAACACATCTACAGTAGGTTCTTATTTGGACATGTTTTGGGAATGCCCAACAGTGGTTCCTTTTTGGACTTTTGTAAGTAATGTTCTTTCGGATATTCTACATTTGGATATACCGCAAGACCCTTTGCTATTTCTTCTTTTAGATGACTCCTCACTCCAGTTGAATTCTCAACAAAAAAGGACCTTATTGGCAGCAAGAACTGCTGCCAAAAAGACTATTTTAAAGCTATGGATAGAACCATCCATACCTACAACTTTCATTAGCTTGTACTTTCATCTTGTTTTAGAGACATTGTATTGCTGGAAGGTACCACTGCCAAGGTCAACAGCTCAAAGGATAAGACTATTCAGATCTAGGCAAAAATTGCGGATAATTTGTTAGATAAGCTGAGATTTTGACATACGACATTGCCCTCTCTCCCCTTTTCCTTCACCCTCCATATTCTACAAATCCTTTTAATGTTTTTTTTTTGTTTCTTTATATGTGTCCACAGTTTTCATGGCATCTGTTTGTATATAGTTCATGTGAATTCAGATATGTTCCTGATATGGTAAATAAAATACAAATTTAGAATAAAAATAAGAAGTTTGTTTTTCTCCAATGGCATTGTAGACATCACGTTTCAGTGGACAGCACTCCAACTCTCCCACAAGGGGGAGACAGTCTAAATTGTCGTAACAGGTGCTAGTCATCAGAATGCATGCTGGGGGAGAAAATCAGAAACGCATTTGGAGTTTGGAAATATATTTACATTTAATCAGTTAGCAGATGCTTATATCCAAAGTGACATAAAAATTAGGGGAAGAGAAACGATCAAACCAACAATAAGGCAACAACATGTTGCCAAAATAAGATTCTTGAAAATGGCTAGAATCAGCAGCTTGGGTTAAGTTAGACAAGGCAGTCCACCAGCAGGCAACAGTCAAGGTAAAGGTCAGTGAAAATGATTTTGTGCCTCTTTATGTTTATTTGCAGAACACAAGCTTCTGGAAGTAATTTGCTATGTGTTGATATACGGTAATTGTTATGTTGAAGATGTATTCAAACAGTTTTAAGTACAAACAAGTACATAAATACAAATGTAATGTATATTAAATAAATGGTGTTTTCTGTTCCAATTTCTTTAGGATCTGCCAAGTGAGATCCCATGAGCATGAGATCCTGTAATCTAGAGTGACCCTTGCTTGTGTAAGTATTCGGCATTTCTTCTCTTCTCTTGCCAGTTTCCTAATCTAGTAGTCTAATAAACCTGGCATTCTGTACTACAATGATTGGGTCTTTGATCAAAGCTCTGTTCTTTTGTAAGTCACTTTTGATAAAAGTATCAGCTAAATGCATAAATGTTTAAAAGTAGGGTACAGAGAAAAATTAGTGCCCACCAAAAGTCAATTACTATGTTACCTTTTACATTTTACTGTGCTAAAGTTTTTTTGCACCGTCTCGCAATGTCTAGCTGAAAACATTCAGTATTCAGGCAACCCGAATGATTAATAACCATCAAAGAAAAAAAGAGTTTCATATCAAACACTTTGTGTGACCTAGCTTCAGCACACACAGTTAACCATGTGTTTAATTAGTCTTTCCTCAGCTCTTCAATTATTTAAGATTGCCAGGGGTTTGATTGCAGGTTAATTAATGGGTTGACTCTCAGGGGCACAGAGGTGTGAGATGAATCATGTCGCCGGCTCCATGCAGACAGACAGAAGCTCCCTCGGGGTCTACTGTCCAACCACTGGAACCCTGATAATGATCAGGCTTATCTTACCACCTAGAAAGGATTTAGCACATTTGTTACAAGTTCACCCGTGTGCAATACTGAGATTGCTTGTTTTCTTCATGCGTAATAAGAGTAAGGCTATTTTTTATTGTCCGATGAAGGTGAGGTAATGACATTGGCAATTTTCTGAAAAATCTCTGCCCATCGGAAATCTTTTCAAATATTTCCAGAAATGTTTTACTCCTAAATTAGATTTTTTTTTGATAATGTTGGATAATGAATGCTCTCCGATTGGTTTAAATTTCTAGGAGATAAAAGTCATTTCCTGGAAAGTGAAGCGCTGTAAACTCTGAAGCACCATATGATGGAGGCTAAAAACAAAAATATAAAAAAGTGTTTTTATCTGTTTTATTAATGTTATTAGATGTGAGAATGTTGAATGGTGAGTTTAAGGTCATGACAAAAACAAATTACATTACGATACATTATCTTATCACCAAATAATACATTTCCGGATATATTAATCTGGTACATCATTTCATTTAAGTCATCAAGGCAGGCTTCAATTGACTGACGCTGCTTTACAGTAAGACTTCTAAGAACAAAATGTGATCTTAAAGGGTCATAAAACCCCCCTCGTTCAGCTCAAGTCTAGCTCACAATCTTTTTAGTAAAAAATGCAACTTAAATGGGATGGGAGTGAGTTTGGTATAGCCATCACCCTCATCGCCAATGTCCCATGCATATTGACTGTAACTAAAAAGCAGTGGTAAAACTTGAGAAAATGCTAGATTTTTTTTATATAGCTGGCAAAGTTAAAGTCTTATGAAATACACTGACACTTTATTATTGTCCTTTCAAAAGTAACTGAATGCCCTGCTACATATACAGTAATCGTAATTCTTTATAATTATTAAATATATAATTAATATTATAAATATAATATTAATATAAATATAATATATAATATTATAAATATATAAAATAAATATAATTAATTCTTTAATTATTTAAAACATATTAATGTAGGCTACATGTATAAATATAATGTCATTATAAAATATATAGGGGTTTATATATACACTATAAATGCATTTGAAAATTATTAATTTTACGGCTTAAAAAAATCGTTCCGTGCACAGCCTAGATCTATGCGCCCCCTGAACACCCATATAAAGATGGCTCTGCGGAGGTGGATGACTTCTCATTTTAGACACATAAATCTGAAGGGATAGAAAAGTCCTCAGGACTTGGTACCACATCACTTCGCTAGACGCAACTTGGATTGGTTGTCAACAAGGCGAAGTTCACCATTCTCCACTTCTCGCAGCTCTCTCTCTCGAGAGAAAATGTTTGCGGCACACACTATAGTTTAGATCATAGACTGTTTAGATGCGTGCGTGGTTGATGGCAAACCAACCGTCCAGAGCCAGAGTCTAGCCCTGGCAGCATCGCAGGGAAACATATTCAATCCACTTGGACTTTGCACCATGAAAACAAACACTTGCGTCTCATGATTGCCTCTTTTATCTACTACGCGATATCACAGTTTGACATGTCTGTCATTGAAAAGATCCACGTGGTGTCATGAATAATTAAGAGACAGTGTCTTCTCATATGAAAACTCAGTCTCATTAATAATTATGAGTCACACTCACACGTGGACACGATGAAGATTTTAAACCCGGAAGACGAAAAAAGCAAAAAAAACCCTCAAACTTAACCATTTTAACTAAAATAAAATCTAACAGATGCTAACATTGTCTTCAATGGTGTTCAACACACACACACCTCTGTTAAAATGTCAGAAATTTTGGTTTAGGGTTTCATGACCCTTTAACTTTGACCTGTTGCTTTTGTATCTGTCTAATTAACTCTCCAAGATTCTATCTTTCATCTGTAGGGAACTAGATTTAAAAAAGCTAATTAATCCAATATGAAAAACACTGACCCTGATGTTGTGTAATTTTGGTTTCATTATTAGTGTAACAAAACTTCACAATTCACAGAACTCTTCAACACCATTTTATCAACTAATTAGCACTAGAATCAGCAGAGAGATATCTGCTCTCTAGTGAATGTCTGCTGTCAGTGCTTTGATGATTCCCTATTCTCCAGTTGTTTTCCTTGACTGCTCATCCATCTGTGTGTTTTGTCCACAGATATAACTTAACCCCTGTGGACAGGCATGTTTCTTGTGTTTTAATTAGATATTGTCTAATTAATTACTTTTTTTTCGTGGAATGTCACTCAATGGGAATAGGTTATTGGTGAATCAGGCAAATCAAAGCAACTTTCTGTTGCCCAGAGGAAAACGGCCATGATGGTTTATGAAATACACTCACCTAAAGGATTATTAGGAACACCAGTTCAATTTCTCATTAATGCAACTAATCAACCAATCACATGGCAGTTGCTTCAATGCATTTATGGGTGTGGTCCTGGTCAAGACAAACTCTTGAACTCCAAACTGAATTGAGCAGTGATTTAAGCAATTTTGAGCGTAGTATGGTTGTTGCCAGACGGGCCGGTCTCAGTATTTCACAAATGCACCCTGCGTTTCCCCGTGAAAGAGAGGAAACATAAATGGATCCTAAGTGGCCTATCATACCCCTTAAGTCATTGCGCTGGTGACGACAGCATTTTTATTAATTAAAAAAAAAGGACAGCCGAAAGTTCGGTGGTGGATGGCAAATTCACATTTAAATGCAAGTGAAGTATTATGTTTTCAATTACTCAAATAGAGAAACCAGAGTTTTTTTTTTTTTTAAATCATCGGCGGTGCCAGGGCTGAAACATCCTCCCAAGTCTTCCAGTAAAATATAAAACAAAAAAATGGCAATAACCAATTATGTCTGTCTCAATAGCTGTTTACCCAGTTATATCAAATGAATGATCAGGAAGGCTGTACTCTCGCACCGTTTTTGCTTGGCGCCAGGAGCAGTAATAGGGAACACCTGGTTGCACAACTAGGAAATCCCACAAAACCTACATGGTCCGTGGCCTTCGAAGGATGCAGCCTTCACATTGGGATACAGCTGAGATACAGTAGAGACATAATATGTGCAATTGTAGTAAGAGAGGGAATTTAAGATTCAATTTTTTCTTTAGTGGTGAGGGCAGTAGCGGTTCTAGGCACGGGCGAACCGGGCAGTCGCCCGGGGCGGCATCTCTTCATGTCACGTGGGGGGCGGCACGAGCAGTTAAAAAAATCCTCTGTCCCGCGAAGGTTTTCTATTTTTTATCATTTCAATTCAATTATTGGCAATGGCGCCCCTGCTTGCGGAGAAGGTGCCGTGCACAGAAGCGATATCAAGGGGGTCTCTTGATTAGTTCACGTATCGCGTCTTTTGCGCGCTTGAGGTCGTTATTTCAAATAGGCGATTAGGCGCACGGGAAGCGCGCTCATTACGCGCTCGCGGGAGGCGCGCTCATAATCTTTTCAGTATGGGAGTGCACGTGCACCCAAACACTTGGGTTTTTTTTCTCTTCTCCGTAAAGAAATCTTTTAGCAGAGCTTCAGCAAGCGTTTTTCTGTGGTGGAAATACATTAGCTACTAAAACTTCTCTGCCATTGTGGAGAGCCCAGTGCATGGTTGTATAACAACGACAGCCATGGGAAAATCGGACCGAATTTTACTATTAATAATAAAAGATCAGCTACTGTGCATTATAAATGTCAGGAATGTATCTTTATTGACTCATTCTTTTTATAGAGATGATTGAATGCTGAAATATGAGGTTTATATATTTTTTAAATCTTTTGTGTTAACCTTTTTTTAAGTTTAGGTAAGATAAAAGACACTCCTTAAAAACAAATCTTTAATGTTATTAACTTGGTGAATTGATTTCATTGTGTATTAGGCTTTTTGAACAAGATCATGTGTATGTGATCATGTTGGTCACTATATTCATGAAATGAAAATAATTTACATAATGATCAACTTTTTTTTATATGTTTTTATAGTAGCCTATAGTAGTGTATAGTAGTGTCTCTCTGACGCTTTTACTTTTAAAAACTCCATTTCGTGACAAAGTATACTTTAACAAGTCATAACTAAAAGTGTGCCATGCACATAATTCAAGGCAATAACCAATGCGCTAATGGTAACTTTAATTTAATTAATCTAGCAAAATAACTGGATTCTATTAACTGTGTTTTTCAAATGAACGGAATGTGATTTTATTTTTGGGGTGGTTTTTTTTTGGTTGGTTGGTGTTTTTTTTTTTTTTTTGGGGGGGGGGGCGCTCGAAGGGGGTCTCGCCCTGGGTGTAATTCAAAGTAGAACCGCCACTGGGTGAGGGGAAGGTTGTATGGCAGATAATTAGAGCCTAGTAATTGTATTGTGCTCTCAAGCTGGGGGAAAGCTGGGTGTCATGGCAACTGATGGAAAAGTGAGTCATCTGAGATTTTTGTGTGCACATGTGGGTGTGTGTCTGCTCGTGAGTGTCTACTTGGGAGTTTTTGTGACCACTAAAAGGGATGTACATCAGTGATTTTCACATTAATTTCAGGTACATGTGGAATAAGTGTTCTGTTTGTTTGCAGCAAGCAAGCATAAGGACTTTTTTGTCGGAGCACTTTCACATGAAATACCCCATGCATCTATTTCTGATGAATTAAGAAGACATATGATTAAAGGGAGCATATATCATGAAAAATCTCACATAATTCTCACATAAGAGTTTGGTGTATTATATGTAAACATACTTTCGGAATAAATAAACATTTAAAAGTAAAAGGATAGTTGGTATTACTGGTATTTTTAAGAAGCAGGGCAACATCTTTACTTGGAATCCTATCCTATCAATGGTGATTTCGCTTAGGAAATTGAACAATTTCAAATCTTAAGCAAAAAATTGAGATGGAAGTTTCCGTAATAAATATATTGTGGGGGGAAGTTTGTCGAACAGGTTTTTTTTTTCTTTAGTAGCATCTTGAAATCTTGTCAATGTGTCGTTAAAGGGATTCTATGCAGTTTTTTTAGCTGAACTGAACAACGGATACAGTGTTCTGTTGTGATGCACAGTCTTCACACGGACGCACGCTTCAATCCGTTGCCGGGACTGAGAGACTCTATATTTGTTACGGTGAAATCACAAAACCTAATGCACAAGAAACGTGTCCGTGCTTGATATACAACCACTAATAAACAATCGGTTTTGATGGGGTACGGATTATAACCCAGAACCTCTGACACGCTTTGCAAAAGTTCTGCCACTGGACCATTAAAGTTCATGGGGATAATAATTGTCGGATCTATGTATTTAATCACGTGAAAATTCTCACCACTAACATATATTAGATCTCATTAATTGACAAATTAAACACAATGTACTATTGTATACCATGTCAATACATGCTGTTCTTTTGAACTCTATATTTCTCAAATCCTGAAAAAATGTATCACTGTTTTTACAAAAACTGTTTATCATTGCTATTTTTTTTTCTTGAGCACCAAATCAGCTTTAGAATGATTTCTGAAGGATCATGTGACACTGAAGGCTTGAGGAATGATTTTCTCTATTTTGTAATTCTTTCATCAATAAAGGTAACACTTTACAATTAGTCCTATTAGTTAAATGCATTAACTAACTTGAATTTAAAACGAGCAATGCATTTGTTACATTATTTATTAATGGTTGTTAATGTTAGTTAATAATAAAAATGCAGCTAATCATTTTTAGTTATCTAATCATCACATGTTGATTCAGGTTCATTACATATTAACATGACAAATTGTTATTAAATGTTGAAATTAAACTAATTAAGAAATGTTTTAGAAGTATAATTCAATGTTTGCTCATTTTAACCAATGTTAACAATTGGAACCTTGTTATTAAGTTATAAATTACTTAAACTGTAATTTTAAAATACAATAATATATTGCATCACAATTTTACTTTTTTCTTTCAAATAAATGCAGCCTTGGTGACCTTAAAATACTTATTTAAAAACATTATAATTATTTTATCATTTTAAGTGAACCTCAGTCCGGATTAGAAAGTGGCCTCGAACAGCTGAAGGGAAAGACATAATGAGCCAGAAAAGGCTGTTGTGCCACCAGCAATCAAAGAGATGTGGAGACCGTGATTAAGAATGATCCTCCCACAGGGACATATAAATCACAGCTGATGATACTTCAGACACAGCGAGACATGGGGCACAAAATCCATAGTTGGTATTTGACTCAAAATGCTTCAGCTGGGAACTAACGCCATCAGTCTCTGTCACTCAAGTTGGTTTTCAAAAACAACATTAATTGAAAAACATCTGTATTGTTAAGATTCAATGAAAGCTCATGGAGGCATCACTGCCATGAGGTGTGTCCAACAGACAATGAATCATATGGGATGAAACATTTCGGGCGAAGCGTGGAAGTTGCCTGAAAAGGTTATCTGCCAAATTCTGAAAAAGAAATGGCCGTGTTAATGTCATGGCAGTTTGAAGATGTGTCTCATGCATTTTATTTAGATGTGACTAAGCAGTACCTGATGGCAAAAAAAGTTCACACAGGTTTGCCTGCATGGAATTGCCTTTCAGATGTTCTTTGTATTGTGCCATTTTTGCTTTAAACTGCTGATCTAATTAAAGAACATGTGTCTGAGCTACCCCAGGCATAATGAACACTTTTGAGTTTGGCTGGAACTGCCACCTTATCGTGGTGGAGGGGTTTGAGTACTCGAATGATCCAAGGAGCTTGTTGTTGTCCGAGGCTATATGCCCCTGGTAGGATCTCCCAAAATAAACAGGTAGGGCCCTATGAATTGTGTAATTGGCAAATTAACACAGAATCTTGTGTTAACGCGGAATTTCGACTTTTATATATTTGGTTTGAAATTCTGTGAAAGACCTGGGGAAGTAAATCTGGTTGACACAATGGCCAAGACACCATGGCCTACCTCAGCATTTTTTCTGACCATGTCCATCCCCTTTAAGGCCACCATGTACCCATCCTCTAATGGCTACTTCCAGCAGGATAATATACCATGTCAAAAAGCTCATATTATTTTAAATTGGTTTCTTGAACATGACAAAGAGGTCACTGTACTACAGTAAAATGGCCCCCACAGTCACCAGAGCTCAACCTAATAGAGCATCTTTGGGATGTAGTGGAACAGGAGCTTTGTGCCCTTGATGTGCATCCCACAAATCTACATTAATTGCAAGATGCTATCCAATCAATATGGGCCAACATTTCTAAAGAATGCTTTCAACACCTTGTGAAACCAATGCCACATAGAATTAAGGCAGTTCTGAAGGCAAAAGGGGTTCAAACACAGTATTAGTATGGTGGTGTTCCTAATAATCCTTTAGGTGAGCAATATATATATATATATATATATATATATATAAATATATAAATTGATGTTGTATATTGTTGTAAAACACAGCATATTTAATAGAAAAAACAATGACAAAACCAGACCTGAAATTATGCTTTTTAAAAGTCTCAGAAAAGGCACTACAAAATATTTACTACTACAAAAAAAACCTGAAAAGGAAAATGCGGAGTAAATGTCAGCTTTGATAAGATTACAAAAATAATATTGTGAAAACAGCACTAAGGATTATCTGTTATTAACAACGATTCCTGGCAGTCCAACATAACCACTATAAAGAGTTGTAGTATCTGCATCTCACAGGCATGATAAAGCTCGATAGAAGTGGTCACTTAAGGCTTATCCTACTATGACCGGAGTGCTGTGGTCTCAGTGCCTCCTAGTGGATATCATAATGCTGCAATGGTGGTTTGTCTGTTCACTCAATCTGTTCTTTGAGAAATGCATTAAAACAGTCATCGTAAAAATTCATGTTTATTCTTTGTACTTGGCGTGTGTGTGTGTATGTGTGTGTGTCTGCACATAATTTAGAGTGAAGAGTTATGCTGTCTTGTATAATTTTCTGATTTGAATGTATCTAGGAAACTCATCTCTAGAACTTAATTTGAATAGGCTGAGAGATTGTCAGGAAAAAAAACATAGTACGATACAAATGCATAAACGTGTTTATTTTTATTTGTTGCTTTATTTTATTAAACCTTGTGGAATTTATAAAGACATCTCACTAGGCAGAAGCAATCTGTAAATTTAATTTCAGTACTGGATTGGTGTTTTTTTTTTGTTAGCAGGTGTTTGTTGGTATATAGGATCTGCGGGACCAGCTAGAGAAGAGCAAGCAGAACTGGAAGATCCAGGTAGAAACCAAGAGCAACCAGCATACTCTGGAGCTCAAAGAGGTTTTAGAGAAGTTACAAAAGACTGAGTTTAGGATCAGCGAAATGGATAAGTCCCATGAAGAGCAAAAAAAAAAAAAAAAATGCCACCCTACTTGTTAAAGAGTTGGAGCTGGCTGAGAAGATGATGGTCGATTATGAAACCCTGCATAAGCGAGAAGCTGAGGGTCAGTGAGAACTGACTGCAATCTGGAGGCAGATCACAACACCCAGGATGTTAGGAAGTCAGGAAGAGAAGATTAAACTAAAAAAGAATATGGAAAAAACTCTGGAGAAACTCACAAAAAGGGAAAAAGAAGTCTCCACTTTAACGACCCAAGTAGACACCCTAAAGACCCAAATAATTGCCTTGGAGGAAAAGGTTTGTTTGGGAGAGAATGAGGCAGAAGGATTCTTAAGGGAGAAGACATGTTGAGGAGAAGAAATCCAATGATGCATCAGGCCAGCTGGTGATTATTAGCCAGGAGTTTCTGAAGAAAGAGAGGAGCCTAAGTGAGCTTTATGTTTTATTGCTGGAATCTCCACGCCACTCTGCATGAGCGGAGTGGAGGATGAAGGAACAGAAACTGCAGGATGACATTAAAACCCTGAGAGAAACACTTGCTCCTGAGTCGGAAAAGGTTGTCTCCATACCACCGCCAATACTCTATGATGGATCCATCTGCTCCAGACACAGAGGTGGCCCGTCTATGTTAAAGGCTGCTGAGCACAGAAGATGCCCTGAGGAACGCTCTGGAATACAACCAACACGTGGACCAGCTAGTGCAGGCCATGTGTACCCGCCCAGACAAGAACCAGGCACGCTAGTGCAAATTATGCAATTGGAATTCATCAAGACACTTCCTTCACACAAGAGAAAGGAAATAGATGAGGACTAAACAGTTATTGGATGTTTAAGGAAGAATGAAGGTGTAATGGGGAAAAAGACGGCAAGTTGATGCCTAGACTTTTGGACTAATGCTTCACTGGACATCTTATTTTTTTCCGTTTACAGTTAACACCAAAACAACAACTTTATAAATGAACAAACAGAAGCCACAATTTGAAAAACATCTAAAATGTTCTGAGATGCTATAAAAGACCTAATGGAATTGGTTTAAAAGTCAATGGTAGAACATGGGCAAACTGACACACCGATCCTGTAGACTACCTCTGAGATGGACAATGATATCTGACTTAACAAACGAGAGTGTTGGTCAGGAAAACGAACAATACCCTGCTATACTCCCAGTTGGTTGTAACCAGTTGCAGTTTAGAAAACATTTTTTGGCATCAGTTTACACCTTTTAATTTATTTGCCATTTATGCTTTTCACCTTTTTTAAAATGATAAACTGGCCAACTCTCAGCATAAGGTTTGAAGGATGGCAGAATACAATTCAGTTGTACTTTTTCAACTTTCTTGTATTTCTCTCTGTGCTGTTTTAACATCTCCAGGTTTATTTTCCTCTCTCTGTGCCCCTGGTTCATAAGCATTTACTGTAATTCCAAGCACAGGAACTAACTAACTAACTCTAACTGTCATTAACTCTCAAAAGTTCAGCCATGCCGCCATCTTTTAACTCATCTAGCTCAGTTCTCAGAAGATATTACTAAGGCAGCTCAGCAGGGACACTCAATAAGCTCAACGAGTCACATTTGTCTCATCCTCTCATGTTAGGTGAGGGGAGACACTGAGTTTTGCCAGCTTTTCACTCAAGCTCATCCATTTTTGGCTGCCATGTAGACAGGCTGTTGAGGGTGGTGTTTACCTTGTGACTACTGGTGACAACTCCCACTTCTCAATCAGTCTTTTTCACCACTCATCCAGAATGCCTGCTGCTCATCTGGGTCACTAAGAAGGGGACAATGTTGCTAAGAGGGCTCTATCGGTCAGGGAGTCACTCCACCGAACATCAATACCAGCGGTGCCTCCAAAACTGTAATACTCCTGTAAAGGATATAAAGGGATACTTCACCTCTGGAAAGATGAATGTGTATTTAAAATGGGTCATTTATGTAAAAGAAA